GCCAGAGGTCTCCTGTTCAACTCTCTTCAACTGCTGTCCACATTCATTTACTCCTGCTTGTTCCAGTTTTAGGCACAGGCAAGACAACAGCAGCAGCAGTTTGGGGGATTTCCACAAAAAGCATTCATAAATTAACATTTAATAACTACAAATTACTTTGGTCCCGGTCTTGTCCTAATCTGTCCCTTTTCCTCCTGTTGTTTCAGTTTTTTTTTATTAAACCTTTATTTAACCAGGAAAGTCCCATTGAGATTAAAATCTCTTTTTCAAGGGAGTCCTGGCCACATTTTTTCCCCTCCATCATTTCCCAATCTGTTTTCAGGTTTTAAGGGATCCTCCTTTTATTAGTTTTGGTTTTATTAGTTAGTTAGTTAGAAAAACTTTCTGTCCACAGCTTCCCAACTGTTCATTATCGCAGGTTTTCAAAGCCGTACCTGCCTGAAGTTTGATGTCTTTTTTAAACCGGAGCTTTCTATTTTGTTGACTCACTCCGAAACAGAAACAATAGTGATTGCCACACTAAATACGTTTTTTTTTTGCCTTTATTGATAGTAACAGCTGAAGATAGACAGAAAAGGGAGGTAGAGAGAGGGAATGACACGCAGCAAAGGGCCATAGGTCAGATTCAAACCCTGGGCCGCTGCAGCACCTCAGTACATGTTTGACAGCTCTACCAGGTGAGCTAACAGGACACTCTCAAAAGTACTTTTCAATAATACCTATAATATATTTTTTAAGTGTTTTCCACTGTTTAAATATGTTGTCTCTTCTTAGTTTGTTGTTGCTCTTTCTTCAAATTTGGGTTCAGTCAGCCCACATGCCTCTTACAACTATAATGCATTGCAACATTTTCATTTGAACATTCTATTTCATTAGAGAAGAGATTGTTTTCCTTGCTCAGCATTTCAAAAATAGAGGCTTATGTTTTTCTTATATTGTTAAAAGCTCTAATTATCTTCAGACCCATTTTTTGAGGGTAATTAGAGCTTTGATTAATATTTCACTTCCAGCTTTTGCCAGTGTAATTATTTTATTACGTGGATAATTTCTAAGTTAAATTTAGAGAGAGATGTTTGGGGAAAATTAAATATTTATTGATGTGCAGGAAGAGATGATGTGACCAAAACTTTCACATCAGAACAGAAATGGTAAAAAAGTATGAAATTTAAGTAATATATCTCATATTTTTGCCTTCTGGCACATACACTGACACAAGCTTCCTCAGTTACTTTCTAATTTGGTCTTGTATGGCTCTATTGGTAGAATAGGACTCAGCGGAGAGGGTTTAGTGCTTTGATTTGCACAGGGAATTCCTATATTAAAAATTTCGCCGTAAAATCCCTTAAAACTCAGCAGTCTAATCAGCTTCAATCAGCAAGTTGGGTGACAGCAATATATTTCATCCAGACCTCCCTAATGACATGCCACACACTTGTCTTATTTGCTCATATGAAATTCTAGGATCAGAGAAGAAAAATAAGAAAACAGTTTAAACAAAGAAACCGGGCTGCCTGATCTCCTCCGGCACTACTAACAGACCCCTACTGGGGGATCTTGTACAGGCTTAGCAGATCAGAGGTAATGGCACATTAAAAAAAACAACCTTATGGCCATCTTCACTTGCAAATATCAGGCCAGAACAATTAATGAGTAAAAGGTAATTCATATTAATATTGCCTTTAGTTGTTGAGCACGAATAGATTCAGGTTTGAGGTGGTGGTTGGATCTTTTTTTACCAGAAAAATCTGCAGTTACCCCCAAAACTGTGCTGTCAGTCTGAGCACAGCCTTAGAAGTGTGGTCGCACTCATTTCAACAACATTGACTTATTAAACCATGGAATCAATTCTGAACCTACAATGGCAGTTTCAGAGGACATTTCTTCTATCGGTGTGATTTCTGTTGGGTCACTTTTACCTTTGCAAATTACTATGGTCAACCGGTATAAGCTGTGAACTTTCTTTTAGTGCCTAAATTACTTTTACACAAAGTCACACATCTGTATTATCTCAACTACAAAGAAACAAAGACTCTTCAGACTTTGTTTAAGTTCTGCAGAACTTATGGCAATATGCAGGACAATTTCTCAGCAGCTGCTTAATACTATTATAGTCCCTCCTAGTCATATTATTATTA